ATTTCCCACATTAATTTGGCCACTGTGGGGGATTAAAATATATTGGTAGAATCTATAAATCCTTCCTTGAAGAGATTGGACTATGCCAATACATAAAGGGGAGATGGGAAAATTTTGCAGCAAAAAGAAAATTTAGCTCCTTAAAAACCCTATTAGTGCTAAATTGATGTCAGGAAGAAATGAGACACTTAAGTCATTAAATAGTTCACAAAAGGACATTTACTTAGCCCTAACATAGGTGGGATTTACAACCAAGGTATAGTAGCACTTCAGTTTGGCAGATGCAGGCCTCACTCTCTAAGAAAACACATCTGTTCTGTAAAGCAGGGTGTAGTGACTTAGGTGGATGGTCTTCAGAAATCCACCAAATTGGAGAGGCACCAAGCCCACATAGATGGGATTTTCATTCCCCTTGTGACCAAGAAAACCACATTAACACAGCCAACGGCTGCCAGAAAGCTACATCAAGGGTGGCAGGGCTTGAGATTTGCCCACCTTTCAAGTCCCAACTTTGTCACCTTTTAGGGAAAATCTAGCCTAATCTACTGTGGGAGAAGGAGGTTGGAGGGAATCTTAGTAGTTTTTGGTCCTATCACTCTCATGTTATAGATGAGGAAGGTGAGACCTGGAGAGGTTATATGATTTGCCCAAGTCACATGGGTAGTAAGTGGCAGGACTATAATTTGAACTCATTTCCTAGGACTCTATCAATCACTCTTTCCATTGTAACATGCTAACCCAACACTTTTCATATACAGTTGAAGAAACTAAGTCTTGAAGAGGTTGAAAGGCTTTACCCGACTCACCCAAATAATAAGTCAGGGTGTAGAACTTGAACCTAGGTCCTTTGTCTCCAAGTCAGTATACTTTCTGTCGTACCAAGCTGCCTTTCTAATAAAACTCTCCATTGCAGAGATCCCTAAAGGCCAAAACCTCCTTCTTGATCTGTCAGAGGATGATCTAGCCTCCTAACTTTCCTTATTGGGATAGATTTCATCCAATGGGAGCTTAACGTTTCAAAAATTTTCCCTATCTTTACCTATCCTCTCCTTGTTTTCTGTCTCAGAGGAAGGATCATCATTATCAAATGATAAAACGCATGTAAAGCACTTTGCAAACTTGAAAGCACTATATAAATGTCAGTTATTATTATTACTATCCCTTTTCCTTACCAAGGATAAAGCCCTCTACCTGTGCCCTCAAGAGGCTGTGAAATATATAATCTTCCCTTGATTGATGCAGACTGTAGCCCCCTCTATAGCATAGTAGACAATTTTCATTAGTTGTGACCAAAAACTTCATAATTTGATGTTTAGTCTTCCAGTGATGATCTATTTTAGGCCACTCCTGGAAAAAAAAAGATATATAACCCGTTTCCAGCCCCACACTCAAAGCCTTTCCATCTTAGAGAACACAGCTGTACTCTTCTGGCATGGTCTTGAACAACCCAGTCCCCTCCATAATATGATGAAAAACCATTAGAATGAGATTTGGTATTTACCAGACTTCCCATATCCTGAAAACAACAGACTTTGACCTGTCTTGTCTATCTTTTTAACAGTTATCCTATTTCTGAGCATCCCCTTATAGCCATGCTTGTTTAAAAAGCCATCTATAGTTTAATCAATGTCTCCACTTCCTCAACAGCAAACATCTATTGATGCCTAGCATCAGATGCAAAGTGCTGTGCTAGTAGCTGGAGAGATATAGAATTTAGATATAATACCACCTACTTTTTCCTTAACTTCCTGCAACCTAGCCTAAGCCCCCTCTAAACTGAAACTTCTCCTTTGAAAACTACCATTACTGATATCCAATGATCTTTTCTCATCTTTATCAGCATTTGTTGTGGTTAACTGCCTCTTCTTGTCTTGAAACTCACTCCTCTGGCTTCCATGACATTAATTTTTTCCTCATTCTCCCTTTCCTATCTTTCCGGTTTATTGTCCTCTTCCCTTACCCTAACTATAAGAATGCCTTTAGAATTTGTCCTAGACCCTCTTTTTCCATCTCTACAAGCACTTCCTTAATGACTTCATTTATTCCCATGGCTTCAACTACCATCTCTGTGTAGTTGAACCCCTGATTTGTATCCCTAGTACTGATATCTTGCCTGAGTTCACTGCTAGTATTTCTGATAACTGCTGGAAATCATTATCTGGATACCTTGAAGCCACCTCAAACCAAACCCACCATTTCTCTCCCCTTGACTTCATCGTTGTTATTGATCCTCTTTCCAGTTACCCAGGCTTAAAAAGCCAGAATCATCTTTCTTTTGTCTTTCTTCCTCACTTCCTACATCCAGTCAATTGCTGTGAACTTTCAATTCCACCTCTTCAATATCCCTCACAAACATTCTCTCCTTTTCTTTCTCACTGGAACTGCTCTGTTCCTTAGTATATATCGCCTGGATTCCTGGAGAAGCATCCTAAGTAGTCCATACCCTACCACCCCCCATTCTACATATGAGGAAACTGATGCCCAGAGGGGTTAATTACTCAGTTTAAAATCACATCAATACTAAGTACCAGGATTCAAATTCAGGTCCTTTGATTCCAAATCCAGTGCTTTCCACTATACTGTGCTGACTCATCTATATAAATGTCTTCTCCCTCTTCTTTCCTGTAAGTTTTTTGAGGGTAGGGGGTTGTGATTGATTCCCAGGTGCTGCTCCCTCCACGAATTCTTCTCTGATTCTTTACCCAACTTCTACTTTGCCTAAACCTCTAAGGACACCTTATGCTCTCTCCTTTACTATTGATATTTGTAGCACACATGTCTTTTCCTCTAGCTGTAAGCCTTTGAGACTGAGGTGTAGCTTTTTTTGGAATGACAGAACTCTCAGCCCAGAGAATGGCATTAGGTCAGTGTTTGTTGGATGAAGAGAAGGAAGAGGAGGCTGGTCATCATGAAGTAAAGTTTCTATACTTGATTTGTGATGTTGCTTCAGCAGCTCTAGCAAGAACTCAATTTGGGAGGTGACCAGTGAAAATCTCTGATATATTTTACCCTAATTAGTATGAAAATAAATCAGTGAAGGCAAAGCCACAGTCCCTAAACTATATTCTAGCCACTGTCCCACACCTATGAATGTCCAGAGCAGTATGGGAACCCTTTAGGTACAACCTGCAGTTGTTAAAACATGCATCCTGGGTCCAAGGTTGAGTTCTTCATTCTTCTCCCTCCTCCTTCCACCCTGGCCTTCACTCTTCCCAACAGTTTCCACTGCAGGGATAAGGGGAGAAAGCAGAAAGGGGAGGGATATAGAGACAGCACATCCAAAGGGTCAAGCTCAGTTCTTCAAGTATTTGTTGAAAAGGTAAGTGTCTGCACCCAGGGCTCTGTGCACCATGCAGAACAAAGAGTAGCCACAGCTTTTAGACTAAATATAAGATGCTTCTGCTATAAGTACAAACAGGCCAACGTGCATGGAATGGCCTTTTCAGCCACATACGTGGATGAAGCCAAGTGAGCAATGTCCAATTTAGGAATGGAGAAAGACAGCAGTAATGTGGGATGGGGGAAGGGTACCGTGATCAAAAGGAATAAATGCAGTGGGAAAAACACTGACCACTTTTGGTAAACTCATTCAGCAAAGAATTACTGAGCACCTACTGAAACAGGGTCCTGTGCTTGGTACTAGACTTAAAAATGTGTAAGAGATAGTTTCTACCATACCAGACCTCACAGTAGACTTTAGAAGACAGAGCTTAGACACAAAAAGATAATTATACATAGCATGACATGGTGTTTCAAATAGGGAGTAGTGATAATTGATATAAGAACAAAGAGAACATCATTGTGGGCTGGGAGACTCAGGAAAAACCTCATGCAATAGACTTCAAAGACGATTAGGGTTTAGATCAGTATTGAGGAGGAGGGAGGGTGTGAGCAAAAAGTCTAAAAACTCTGAAGTGTGAGTATATGCTTGGTCTGCTAAGTACAGAGTGATTGCAGCAGTTAGTTCAAGAAGAGGAGTGGTGAGAAAGCAGTTTCAGGCAACTTAATCTGGTAGCAATGTGTGAAATAGGTTGGAAGAAGAAGAGACCGGGCTGACCCTAAACATTGTAAGGCCACCAAACCCCTACTTGTCCTACTCCAGTGACAGCTCTGGTTGTACAACAAAGTATCTGCTATCTTTTTTTTCCTTATTATCTTTTTTTTTATTCCATTTTTGAGAAAAAAATTATTTTTGTTATGTGTGTATTAGACTTGATCTGACTCTGTTGCTTGATATTACATGTCATTAGCCAAGAAGTGGCAAATGTTTTTCTTAAATTGACAATATGATTATTTGAGGGACAAAATGGTACAAGAAAAAAAAAACACTGGATTGGAAGACAGGAAAGCTCTATGTTCTAATTCACTTTCTAGTATATGTTAGCTCTCTGAAGTTGGGTAAGCTGCTTATCCTCTCTAAGCCTCAGTTCCCTTATCTGTAAAATGGAGATAGTGATACTTAGTAGGCATACTTGCATAGGTATACTTATATCACAGAATGGAGTGAGGATTGAATAGGTGCTGTGCTACATTGTTTTGTAAACCTTAAAGTGCTATATAAATGTCATCTATAATAGTAATGATTATTCTTTAAAATAAAATAGTGGTGAAATAGATGGATTTTATGCTGTATTTTAAAGTTTACAGAGCACTTTAGTACAATATCTCATTTGATCCTTACAACAACCTTGTAACATAGATACTAAAGATAATACCATTCAGTTTGAATAATAATAGTGGTATGGAAAATGCCTTTTAAATCCTATCATAGGTCCTATCACTGGAACTTATTGGAGTGTCTACTTTTCAGAACATCTTATGAAGAAAGCATTTTGTCTGGCAGTGTTAAGATTTGTGGAATGTTGTTAATGTAATCAATAATGAATATTTATATAGCATTTGGAGATTTACAAAGCATTTACGTGTGTTTTCTCATTTGACACTTGATCATTGTAAGAGGTCTGGTCTTCTCAATAGGATCATTTGTCTCTTCTTCTCAGTGTACTGAGCCACAGAAGTTATTCAACATTGCAAATGAACTCCTCCACACTGAAGAAGCCTATGTCAAAAGATTGCACCTGCTGGACCAGGTAGATTAAACTTTGGTTAAAATTAGTTTCTTTATTCTTTCTTAGGATTTAGACTTTTCCTGAAGCTGAGCATTTTTTAAAAAAGTGAACACATGTTCTGTTGTTTTTAAACTATTGTAGGTAGACTGTCTTGGTGTTGCAGTCAGAGGACATGGGTTCATATCCAATGAGTTCTGCTACTTTACTAGCTATGTGACTTTGGACAAGATATTTCTTCTGAGTCCCAGTTTCCTTATCTGAGGTCCCTTCAATTTCTAGAATCCTATGATCTAAAAGCTTCTACTATGAAAACTTGTCCTGGTCTGGAAAGTCTGTCGCTGAAATGGAAGGGGTGGAACCTCTGGATGTGGAATACTGCATATACTATCAGACACTCTTGAATTGCCCCCCCCTTTTGAATCTTTGTATAATCTTGATCAATTTGGGCTTAGTCCTTAGGATATGCTTGAATTTGCCTTTCTTGATGAATTTTGTAGAACAAAAGTATCATACTTGGAGCCACCTGTCAGTTCAACCAGATTAAAATGTAATTGGGAAATGTTTCACAAAATAAATAAAAATACAGTACAGCAGAGATTATGTTAATTTGTGGTTTCCTAAGTCAATATACACCCCTCTCTGTTTCTATTTGAGTTTGACACCATCCATATTGAGTATGCACGTGTGTTTCTTGACTGGTCCTGTCCAACATTTGAACTTTGGAAGCCTGTTCGAGCGGTGTGTGACTGAGGGGCTGGTGCCGTGTGATGAACAATGTCTTAAATGACTGTAGACTTGGCAGAACCAGTGCCTCAGGAGGTGCTGAGCTAGAACTGAATTCACAGACAAAAGTGCTGCCTTGATACTCTTTTAGTCTTTTTTCCTTCTTGGTGGTCAGTGAAGCAAGAACTTCTGTGACTGTGAATCAGGAAAGGGAAGATGCCTTCTCTCTCACCTGGTCATTATGTATCTATGAACACACTGCTTTTCAGGAGGTGACTGTGTGAGTTTGGTCCATCCATCAGAGGCTTATGATGTGTCAAGCTATGTCCCAAACTCTCAAGAAAGACAGTTCCTGCCTTCAAGAAACTTAATTTTATGAAGGAAGACCACACACAAAAGGGGGCTAGAAAATGGAGGATATTTGTAGGGGAGGTAAAAGGACCAGGCATGGTATCGTGGCATTGAAGTCTAAAAAGTCAAAAATATAATTGGGGGGGAGGGGAATGAAGGTTGCTTTCATCAAAATAGAGGCTCCAGGAGGAACTCACCAATGAGAGAAGGTGTGCAGCTTAGCAAAGAGATGTTCCAGGGTGAGAAGGCCTCACTCATGGAGGTTTTGGGGTAAAGCTGTAGATGAGGCATAGTATTGAAGTCCAGAAAGTCAGAAGCACAGTTGAGAGGGAAATAACAATGTAGCATCCATTCTGGGTGACTTACTTCCCTAGCTGCTTAAACCTGTCCAAGTCATTAGAGACTTGGGACTATGGGCTTTGTTAAAATCCCTTCAGTTGATTTGCTGGGGACAGCAAATGTTTAACTAGGGGAGAATGTAAAGCAGGTGTTTCATATCCCACCTCAATTAATCTAATTATTGCAGCACCTTCTCTGGGCTGCTCTCCCAACTTAGAATTGAATTTACAGGTTGGCTTCCCCACAGGGCTCAGTTGATGACTACTATTCAGAGTTCTAGAATGAGAAGTTAGTTTCTAGTGACCATATGACCCTGCTGGTGTGCTTCCCGTTGATAATCAGCCAGAATTAGCTTTTTAGTTAAGGACATTTACTAAGGGGACCTAATGACAGTGGTTGGCATAAGATATTCCCTCCGCTCCTCTACTCAACCAGACAGGCTGGATATACCTTCCTCCTTCACACACAAGATCCTCTGGGGAGAATATAGCACCTACTATGTGCTAGGTACTGTGCTAAGTGTTTTACAGATCTCATTATATCTTCATAACAACCTGGGAGGTAGGTGCTATTATTATTCTCATTTTACAGTTGAGGAGACTGAGGCAGATAGAGCTTAAGTGATTTGCTAACAGTGAGACTGTTAGTAAAGTGGCTGAGGCTGGATTTGAACTCAAGTCTTCCTGACTCCAGGCCCAGTGCTTTATCTGCTGTGCTATCTACTATAGAGAACATATATAACCAAAAGGTAAACTCACAAATCCTGGCCCTGGGAATCCCCTTCTTCCTTCCTGGAGTCCTCATGAAATGCCCCTTAGGTGTAGCTCTTTGCTGGGCCCTGTGGAATACACAACTGACACATTTCTGCCATGTGGGGTCTTACCCCCTAAGACAACTATTGCCCTCCTCAGGTCAGTATACATCTCTTTACAGAAAGGTCCTTATATTCAGCCACTATCACTCTAGCACTCACCATGACCACCTCTGGGGGAGTCTACTAATGACTCTGGTGTTATTTTCCAAAGTCGTATGGTCTTCTGGGTATGCCCTTCTTTGAGGGCTTGTTCACTCAAGATTAAGAAAGAATGACCTCAAATGAAATGAAGTGCTGTATGCTCACAGAGAGTGGCCAGGGACAAGATGAGTCAGTCACTGTCCTCCCCACTGAGCCACTCACAGCAGTTTTTGCCTCACTCATTGCCCAGAAGTAAAGGAGGCTGAGAGATTGTCCCTACTAATTGGGGCTCTCTCTGTACCTCCTGATTTCTCAGGCAATTAGAAGAGTATTCATCATCACAACGCCCAGCCCCCAGTCACACATGCTGGAAACAAGATTCTAAAGTTGCTGTGGCATACTGGACAGATCTTTGGAGTCAAAACAAAAAACAAAACCAACCTTGGGTTCAAATTCCACTTTAGACACTTCCTAGTTATGTGGTCTGTGGGCAATCACTTAGCCTGTCTGGGCCTCTGTTTCCTCAGATGTAAAGTGAAGGGCTTGGACTCAGTGCTTCCTGATTCTGTAATCTGGGCTTTGTCTGTTTAGCCCACCAGGAAGGGCATGTCGAAGCCTGCTCTTGAGGAATGGAGCCCTTATAGAGTAAACCATCTTCCCATTACTGTATTACATAAGGGAGGCGAAAGAGGATGAGCATATTCAGAAATGATTATGAAATAGCCAAAAATTATATATCAGTAATTTTAAAATACAAAAAGTAAAGTCTCATTTCAATTTGAGAACAGGCCGAAGTTTTCTGCTTACTAAAGATTAATTCCTCTTGCGATCTTTCCATTCAGTGCCTAATCTTCTATCCTAAATGATCTTGAACCGTTTTTCAGAATATAGTTGGAAAGGCAAATAGTATGATATTTCTTTGTTTGTTCAGGCAGTGTGCTAGAGTGGGAACAGCCCTGTATTTTGGAACCAGAAATTCCTTTAGGGGGATGGCTTTGGGCCACTTATTCCCCTCTCTGAGCTTTAATTTTCCTCTTGTGAAAATTAGGAATAATAATTATTCCAGCTCTGCTCCTTTCTTGGGGCTTTTATAAGGATCAGGTAAGATTATGGATGTGAAAGGGCTTTGTAAAATGTAAAGTATTATAATTAGCTCAATAAATAAAGGAAACCTCAAGATAGATAGATAGATAGATATAGATATATAAAAGATATAATGTATATACATATAACCAAATGTGTTATTCATATTGATTTTTAATTAACTAGAAAAGTAAAGCCTTAAGATTCTTTTTTACAAAACATACCAGGCAATTTGAAGACAGATCAAATGTCATCCTTTTCTTTCAGATAAACCTGCATTTTCTCAGAGGTTTCATCCATTCCTAGACTTTTGTTTCTAATGGAGGAGTTTTTAACTCCTATTTTTCACATAGCCCTTGAGTCCTAGAAGTATGTATTTAGAATCATGGGATTTTAGAGCTAGCAGGAGCATTAGAGATCATCTGTTTTAACCCTTTCATTTTGAAAATGAAGAAACTTGAAGCCTAGTATTCAAACTCAGGCCCTTTTATTCTAAATCCATTGTGCCTTCTTCCTCTATATTACATCATCTGGACCTGACTGCAACTGCCCTTTGAGCAGTGTACTTCTTTGAACCAGTTTAAATCATAAAAGAATGTATATGGCTTCATGCAAATTGTATCCCTCAAGGTTCCTTCCCAAAGCAAATAATTCACATTAGGTAGAAATGAATGATCTAAAAATATTTCATTCAGTGATTTCTTGATTGTCCAACTGCAGGTTTTTTGCACCAAGTTGGCAGAAGCTGGTATTCCATCTGAGGTAACAACTGGTATCTTCTCCAACATTTCTTCCATCTACTGTTTCCATGGGCAGTTTCTCTTACCAGAACTGCAGACTCGGATTACTCAAGAATGGTGAGTACTGATCCCAAATTGACACTGAAGAAATGATAGGATAATATCTGCTATCTGTTTTGGTGGAGGTTTTACAAATTCTTCCTTACAGTTTTTCTCCATCTGGGCGTGTAATATTAAGGATGTGTGTGGGGTGATCTTGAGAATTTATTTAGTTCCCTCTGAAAACTTTTTAAGAGTAGTTTTGAAGCTCCTAAGACCTTATTATAAGTAATTCAGCAACAGGTTAGCACATATATACATTACTGAGATTATCTTTACACATATATGTATGTATACAAATAAATATAGATATAATCAATTAATTTTAACTAAGTGCCTACTATAACAAAGCACTATACTCAATGCTGGAAGTGCAGAGATAAAAAATGATGCAGTCCCTGCTCTCCGGGAGCTTACTGGGCTATGGGGATACAACATGTACACTGACAGCTATAGTACAAGGTAAAGTATAATAGTAAACAAAGATCAAGCAACCAACAAGCATTTTAAAGCATCTGTTATATGCCAAGCACTACACCAAATGCCAAGGCTACAAAGACAAAAAGATACATTCTTTGCCCTCAAGGAGCTGACATTCAAGGAGACATGTATACACACAAGTATATGCAAAATAAGTGTAGACTAATTTGGCAGAGGGGGAAATGCTAGCAATCAGAAGGATCAGGAATGGGCTCTCATAGAAAGTGGCCCTTTAGCTGAGCGTTGTGATCCAGTAAGTGCCCAGGAAAACTAGAAGTAGAAACCACTTTAAGCTAGGAAAATCATGGAATGCTTCCTAAAAGATGAACCATTTGAGTTGAACCTCAGAAAGAGGAGGATTTTGATGGACAAAGATAAAGAGGAAATATATTCCAGATTTATATGATTTCTCAGAGCCGGATGGTGGGTTGTTGAGTTCAGAGAACAGCTCAGTCCAGCTTATATTTATAAAGCCTGCTACTGTGCTTCTTGTTAGATGGTGACCTTCCTAATGACCTCTTCCTAAATAGGATCATTTTGATAGTTTTTTGTCAACTAAAATGCAGCATGAAACAGCGATATTTCTTACCTTCTATATAAATCCTTTTGCTAGGTATCATACTGCCTGTCTACCTGCTGGGTTGAATGAATGAGTGAATGAATGCCTGTGTTCAAAAATAAGAACTTCCCCACCCTCTGACAATCAGGTGATTGCTCCAGTTAACAACAGCTGGAGGGAATTGCTGCAAAGTGTGATTAGTAAGACTTCCTGAATTTCATCACTGCTCAAAATTAGATTCGCCAGTGGTCTGTGTTAAACCCTTTCTGCTTTCTGGGACGTGACAGTCAGTTTTGCTTTAGAGTTGTTCTTCAGTGTCTCTTTCTCTCTCCCATCCCTCTTCCCCTTCTCTCCCTGCCCCTTTCCTTTTTTCCCCTCTCAAGTGGCTGGCCCTTGGTCTTTAACATGCCTTTTGGACAGTTGACTTGTTCCTGGAGCCAGTTAAAGTGGCAGGACAATGGATTATTGGGTGTCAGATGTTTTATCAAGAAGCATGAGTCCTGCCCAAGTCAGAGAAGGGTAGTTTGCATTTATGAATCTTTGAAGGCACCCATTCAATCCTTTGAGCCTTATTTGTAAGACACTCCCAAAGAAGTAATAATAATGGTGAAGGGACAGCTGGGTGGTGCAGTGGATAGAGCCCTGAAATCAGGAGGACCTGAGTTCAAATGTGGCCTCAGACATTTACTAGCTGTGTGATCCTGGGCAAGCCACTTAATCCTGATTGCCTCCCCCCAAAAAATAATAATGATTGGCTAGCACAACAGGCTTGATCCTCTGCCTGGTTAATCAGTAAATTCTGTGCCTTTAAGAGATAGGTTTTCATTTGTTAGCCATTAGCTCCATAGAGAGTTACTGTTCTAGGGCACTAGGAGGTAGGAATTGTCTGCCCATCTGACTCTCTAGAGATGATTCTTGGTCCCAAGCAGGTTCTCTCTCCTTCCCAACTCCATTCCCCCCTTCCCTACACCAACTCACTTGGACTGGAGTATCTACTCCCTTCTTAGTTACCTATTGCTTCTACACAGAATCTCTCTTCCCTTTGTAGCAAAATATAGTCTCCAAGCTTCTCCTAAGAAGTTATCAAAGTCTTGCAACCTTTAATATATTTAAGGGATTTTATTGCCAACAGCCACTGGGAAACAAATGAGCTAAAATATATAAAAATTGGAAAAGTTAAAAAAAATCAAGAAACCTTAAAAGTCTCAGAATCCCTGGTGAACACTGGAATATAGAGCTTAGCCTCATATTTCTTTGTTCCTATGGACTCCACCACTCCATCATATCATACTGTTGTGTCATATACCACACTGTTATTACAACATCATTATACTGTTATGTCGTCACGTGGATACATTCTGCATCACATTTATAGCAAGCATTCCACCATTACAACATATCACACTTATACCATGTCACACTCTTATACTTTATGTCACAGTGTTATACCATAAGTCATAGTGTCATACTGTATTCACATTTGTTGTAGTGTAATTATCACTCTTAAACCATATGTTATCGTGTTACATTGTATGGTGCATTGTTATGCTGTCTTTTTCATCTTTTGGAGTAGAAATCATCATAATCATCATTTTGTTAATGTTTTCTAATATACCAGCTGCTTTTTACATTGGGGGGTGGGATGGGACAGGGTCATTCTCAAATTTTATTAAGATTTCATTTAATAAGATTCAGTGCCCTGGCAGACATTTGCATGGCTTTGGCAAGGCAATCACATTTTGCGACTAACAATTACATCCTCTGTATGTTGCTATCTACTAGCAGCTTTGAGCTTTCATTTACTATCTGGTTTACCACAAAACAAAAACCTAAGTGTGAAGAGTAGATTTTATGTCATTAAAAAATCCACATACTTTGGTATTTCAGTGGAGTGATGATCTTACCAACATGTATGCTCCTGCCAACAGTTCAGATTGCAACATTTCTCCCATCCCTACCATCACTCATCCTATGTAAGTCTTGTCTATGATCTTCCCACACATTTTCTTTAAGGGCTTCATTCAACATGCTGGGAGCCTTCCTTCAGATCTCTTGAGTTTGCATGGATTGCAGTGGAACACACAGGCTGTATACTGTTTTATTTCTCACTCTAGCTCCTTGACTAGACTTTTATACAGTTATACAAATGGATACATGTTCTGATGGACCAGCTCTATGAGTCACCTACCAAACTGTAAACCATAGTTTGGATAATATATGTGTTTTCCTGTGTAGATAGTTAGGCCATACTCTTGAATGCTTAAGGACCTCACTTAGGAGGCTCATATTTGTTCCAGGGCTTAATGTAGTGAGCACAATACTATCTGCAGACCTCACCATATTTAGGGACTCACTACTCAGTTTGAATTCTATACTGGCCTTCTTCTTGGCAGATACTTTTAGCAAGGGTACATTTCCCTCTTTTATACCCCACTGATTGATAATAGTCATTTAAGTAAAATTATCTGTTGTTATATTTTTCATGCAATATTATGTTATTTTGATATATGCATGGAAAATACCTTGTTTGAGGATAGTCTTCAAGGTGGCGTTTTGTTCTACCAAATCAAAGGACTTTCAAAAAAATAATCAACAAACAATAAGCAGAGTGGGATCTTATATTTGATGTAGTTTTCAGTTGGTTGTGTGATTATACAGATGTGATCTGCTGTACAGTAGCATTTGGAAAGCTTGCCTCTTCCCTTTTTCAGTTTTCATCCATGATACCCTTGATATATCTCTAAGCTCTCCTTATTGAGATTTTTGTAGTGATGGGAAAATAGACTTTTTAGTTACCTTTGAAAAATTTATAATAATAAGGCCTATGATTTTTTTCTAAGCATTTAATATCCCCTCCTTTTTTAGATTAACTTGAGAAATGATTCTTTGGGGCCCTTGAAACTGTATAAACTCCAGCTGGACCTCCTTTTGTGTATACTTGGTCTAATCTAAGTGCTCTTTTCATCTTTGTTTTCTTCAGTGCATTTCCACTTCACTATGAAGCACATCTCTAATGTGTTGCTTCCACTGCCATTGATGGAGAAAAGAGCTTGTTCTGGAACTCCCCATAGATCTTTTCCATCTGTTTATTGTTCTCTTGCCAATTTCATCCTTAAATACCCTTGAGATCATCTTGCTCACTTGGGTCTTTGCTTTCTGTAAGGGCAAGGCTGGCTAGACTTCCTCTAACCTTGTTTTCTCCTCCACTGCTTCTGAATTGAGGTTGTACTACTTAAAATTCAATCAAACAAAAATTAAGTGCCTACTATGTTCAAGGTGCTTTGCTAGATGCCAGGGAAAATGAAATCGCCCCTACTCTCAATATACTAATTGGAGGTAAAGGGAGAAAGAGAGACCATGTAAATACAGATATTCATGGTACAAGGAAAACATGGGGAGGGGCAGAGCACTATCGATTGTCTGCATCTGGGAAGGTACTATGGCATAATAATATCTGAGTTTAGCCTTAAAGGAAAATGAGGATTCTGAAAGTCAGAGATGAGCAGGGAGTTGAATCCAGGCGTGGGAAAAGGGTTATATGAATTGTGTTATATTACTGAATTTAGGTCAAGAGCTAGTATAGCTTAGTTTGCCTCAGTATGATTATATGAAAGGGAGTATTATGAAATAAGACTAAAAAGGCAGATGGAAGCCAGATTGTGGGAGGCCTTATGTCAGGCTGAGGCTTGTATTTTATCTGATAATTAAGTAATGTGAACCCACTATGTGGTTAGACCTCTGCCTTAGAAAGATGATTTTGGCAAGTATGAAAGATGTATTGAAGAAGTAAGAAACTAGAAGCAGGTAGACCAGTAGTTTAAGGAAGAATTGCTAAGGACCTAAACTAGGATAATGACCATGTGAATGGAGGTTGGAGGGACAGATTCAAGAGATAATATGGATCTTGAATTGATAAGACTTTACAATTTCTAGGAGTTGGAGAATGAGTGAATGAGAAGAGTCAAAGATGACTCCAGTG